TCTACTACGTGGGCTAAGAAGGCATGGTACTCCTTACGTAGGTATTTCTGGGCTTTGACGCAAGAGATGATTTGTAAAATGGTACCGGGTTTGTCACCATAAATGACAAGAGTTTCGCCGCTTGGTAGGTTTAGGCAAACGGCCTTTTCGTGACAAAGAATATCTGCATGGTGTAGGATTAACCAATCCATACCGATGATGACATCAAAGCTCTATATAGTGATTGGCATTAGATCGATTTGAAATGAATGTTCATTTAGAGTTAGTGTGCAACCTATGTACATATCATTTGTGCTTTCTGTTCTACTATTTTCCATTTCTACTGTGAATATCTTATTGAGTGATTTAGGGTTCTGTTTTAGTATGTGCTTAAATTTATAACTCACGAAACTCCTTTCCGCACCACAATCAAAGAGTATGCATGCATAAGCGTTATTGAGGAGAAATGTACCCGTAACCACCGTGGGATCAGCTATTGCTTCATTATGTCCTATTGCCAGCACTCTTCCTATGCTTCCAGCATTTCTTTCCTTAGGGTAGTCTCTCTTGTAGTGTCCGGCCTCACCGCATCCATAACATGCCTGGCCCACACCGACCCCTTGGACTTGGGTGATCGGTTGTGCTCAAGCTCTACAGAAATGGGTTGTATGCCCTTTCTTTTTGCAATTTTTACAGTGCAACTCCTGGCAATTTCCATTGTGGTGGAAATTGCATAGGGCGCACTTCGGTAGGTTTCCAGCATATGGCTTTGCTGGTGTAGTGGTAATTGGAGCAGTAGTGGGGGTAGTAGCGGCATGGACTGCCACAATCTGTTGTTTCTTGGAAGGTTCTTATGAGCACTGACCCTTCCTCTTGTTCCAAAACTTCTTGTTATTGTTGTTGTTGTTGTTGCTTCCTCTGGGTTGCTCCGGAGCGGTAGTTGCGAAGTCTTGAAAGACCCCATGGTCAACGAGGGCTTGTGCCAATTGTTTGGCACTATCGAAAGTGATTGGTTTGGAAGCTAGAACACTTCCTCGAATCTGGGGTGACAGTCCCCAGATGTATCTTTCGATCTTCTTGCTCTCTAGAGCAACTATCCATGGGCAAAGGATTGCCAAATCACTAAACCTGTTGGTATAGGTCGTGATATCTGAGCCTACCATGGTAAGGCCCCAAAGTTCCTGTTCAAGCATTTTGTAATTCGCCCCGTGGACAGTACTCTTGCAGTAATATTTGTTTTAGATTCTCCTAGCCCATAGAGTTAGACACTACTAGCATCAGTGACTTGACATGCCCATTCCACCATGTCAGAGCTCTCTCAGAGAAACTACATGCAGTGAACTTCACTTTGTTACCTTCTGGACAAGAACAAATCTCAAAAACCTCTTCATTTTTCTCTATCCACTGTGATGGAGCCATTATCCCTCCGGCTCCATTAAAAGTAATGGGTTTGCTATTCATGAAATCCTTGTATGTACAATCCCCTGAACGACCTAGACATTGGCCATTTGTAGAACTATTTACTCCCCCACCAGAACCATTGTTACTCATTTGGGCCCTTGCCGCTGTTACTGCATCCATTACAGTAGCTATCAATGCAGCATTTTCCATTGATGGGAGCGGTGGTGGTGGAGGTATTGTGCCCATCCTGGGTCTTACGTTTGGATGAGGAGGCATCGCGCTGCCAAGAAATAAATATAAAAGATTATAAGTTTTGGTGGTTGAGAGTTGAATGATAACAGGTTAACTATCTTTAATATTTCAAGGATTTGGTTTGACCAACACAGGATTTTGATTTTGATTCACCAATGGAGTTTGAATAACAATAACCAAACTCATTAACTCAAATGAAATGCACAGATTTAACACAAGAAAGAGGTATGCCCTATATATATTAAATATATGGTTGCGTTACATCCGAAGTTAGAAAATTTTGACCTTTCTAAAGGTTTCTGATTACAGAAAGTTAAAGAAGGTAATACTTTTAGCCGATGGTCCTATTCTATATCAAAATTTAGGAGTTAGGCGAGCACTACTTGCTGCGCGGATTACGCTAGGAGCTTGACTCCGCATCCGATTGTTTGGCTCCCATGAGACACCTGTCTAAGGCAGCTTGTTGCTCCCTCAAATCTCTCATTTCAGAGAGAGCTGCAGTCATTTATTCCTGGGGGGATTGGGTGTGGAGTTGAGCATTCCCTTGTAGCATGTCTAGGCTATAGATATCAGTTGCGTTTTCTTCCATCCTTATGTCAACCTCGCGAATCCGGTTTGCTTGGACTCCGGATTGATAAGCCTGATTGGCAATTTTGCGTACCACAACTGGGAGTGCTTGATCAGCTGAACTTCCTCCGCTAAGATCGTAGAAGTCCCGACACATACCGTAAGGAGGACGCAGTCCTTGCTGCTGGCTCCAATGGTGGATGTGGCTTCCTCAGACGGGAGTTGGTCCTTGAAATCCCATCTTGAAAGGAGTTCGAACCGACGGAGGTCGTCCGGTTGGTGGATTGATTACCTCGGGCTCTGAAGCTGAGATATTTGAATCTTCCTCTTCCTCTTCCTCGTCTTCCATGGGTTCCTCCTCGGGGTCGTCTACAATCCATCCTTCATTACCTTGGTTGGGGTAGTAGGGGTCACCGGGGTGATGAAATCCAGCCATTGAGTCTATATGTGAATAGGGTTAAGAATTGACTATAAGCTAAAGTACGTAAAAATTACCCCTGAGTTTGACGGTTGACGATACCCAAATACTCCCATAGTATTTAAATTTGTATGCTTGGTACTAGTGTTTATTTTGGTAAGTTTTGATTTGTCGCTCACTACGACCATTCCTTTACATAGATTAGTCCAATCTCGGATAAATATAGTTGATCAGGCTATATTCATCCCAAATCCGATTACATATCGTAGTGTCTAACTTGTCTTAATACTTCTTGTATAGTTCTAACCATGAAAATATATTGTTGTATGCATGTATTTGTACTTTTACAACCCAAAATAATCTAAATTAAATGAAACGAGGTTTTAGGTGTAAAAACGTTTTGTCAGAGAGTTTTAGTCCCTTATGCATTTGTAGTTTTTATATCTTATGTGGTTCGATATACTTAGTTCACTATAAACAATGCTCTGATACCAATCTGTCACACCCCCAAACCAGAACGGCGGAATCGTTCGAGGGCGGATGACTTCATGTAGTATCGAAACAGTTGAATACATAGTAAAGAAAGTAACACAACCATCATATATATAATTTGAAAGTTTACATTATAGAAAAGTACGTGTTTCAAAAGAAATTACAATATGATGTCAAAATGAAATTAAACTAACGTCGCAGCGTCCCTTCTACAAAAGTTGTAGTTTACCTGTATTATTGAATCCCTGAGAAATACAAGTGGTTTTGAAAGAGTAGGTCAGCATTTAAGCTGGTGAGTTCATAAGTATTTAGTGACAAAGTTTGTATGAAATAGAATGAAAATGGTTTGTACATGTTTAAATGTTCCTAGAAAATCCCATATTTTCTACTATAGTAGATGGTAGTTTAATTGTTCCAAATCTGTAATGCAATAGTGCTTTTCTTGCCTAAAATAGTAGGTTTATGTATAAATCGTTAAGGCATTTGAAAAACACCATAAATCAATGTGTTCTTAATACTCCATGTGAGTCTTATAACCATACTATTTGACCAGCATGCCTCACTACTAGAAAAATAGCCTTTTATGACGAGCAAACCACGACACTCATAATCTATGTTACGCAAAAGAGAGTGACATTAAAAAAGTGACATCTCTTCAAAAAATTTGAAGATTTAGGTCACGCATTATTGCGTGCCCTTAAATTAGTGTCTAATCCAAAAAAAAAAAAAAAAAAAAAAAAAAAAAAAAAAACACGGAGGGAACCTCTAATAAAATACGTGTCATCTATGGATGTCGCTTTATAAATTTTTTTGCAACGCGCGTTGCATCCCCTAATAAACAGGCGGGGGGAAAATGAAATCCTAAATAATTGAAAACCCCGCCTTTCTTTTTTCTCCTTTCCCTCTTGCCCTCCTTTCCCCTTTGCCCTAATTATCGACGCTCAAATGAAAAGGAACGACTAGACTCAAAGTTGAAATTGGTCGGAGAATACAGTCTACGATGTAAAGTTGAAAAAGAACAACTCAGAAAAATCTGTAATGCTGCGAGAATGCTTCTAACTCTTGAGGACAAAGATCCACGAAGAATCTTCGAAGGCGAACTCTCATGAGGACCATTATCTAGGGAAAACTTCATTGAATGCCGTCTTCCAACCCTCGTCTTCATTGAACAGACTATTTATTATCAAAAAATCACAGGGACCATTATCTAGGGCTTTTTTCAAGGAGTGCTTTGTGCAATGTTCTCTACCTCGGCTCTCCTCACCTGCAAGCGACCTCAACTCACCTCTTTCCACCGGAGACCTCAGGCTCACCTCACCTTACCGGAGACTGGAACGATTGCTCAAGTTTCTAAGCCCTAGGGCTGATTAAGGTATGTTTATCATGCTCTCGACACACCTCAACAACACCACTAAAACATATTCTTAGTCGTCGACTTACTCTGCTAACCAATGTTCTCCGTATCGCCTACTTCTTGCCTTCCCATGGTTCGCTAATTAGTTCTGATTCGCCAAAGCTCATGACTCCATGTGAGTTCTTCCCTTTGTGTTTTATCTGAAGAAATTATAAAATTTTATGATCAATGTTCATGATAATTACCTGATTTACCTGATTGAAATCACTCTCCGTAGACAAATGATTTGATCACAAAAAAAAAAAGTGAATTTGGAAAATTTTTATTTGGTCACTCGTGAACCATGAGAGCAGGTAACCTGTTTGAATAAATGAATATGAGATGTTACTTTTAAAATTTCTGATTGCGAGAGAAAAAAGAAGAAACCTATAAAGCATGTAACCTAGTTTCATACGTAATTTCATTAAGTTATTTAGCATACCCAACTAATTGAGGGTTAAATGTTTGTTTTCATTACTGTTAATCTATTGTTTCCATATGGACCGGGTAATCTATTGTTTCATGCATTTACCCTTTCATCATTTCCGATTTCCTTTTGCATTTTATATGCTTTTGAGATAATCTGCTATCAGACAAGATGTATGTCTGTTTCTATCTGACCTTATTAGTTTCCCACTAATACTGATTAGATGAGTAGGGTGACCTGTTATCATGTATGCTTGCCACATAAAGTTGTATTTTGCCATGCTTGAGTAACTTGCACCAATAGTTATTAAGCAAAAAGCTTGTAGTGGGTGATTTAGTTTTATTAGTTAGAGTTCACATGGTTATCAAAGTAGTTCGCTTTAGAGATTTGTTTGAGGCTGCTGTTGCTATATGCTAAACCCAGCAGCATATTGTTTGTTATAACTTCACTCAAAGTTTGGCCTGAACTATTTTGCTAATGTTCTCATATATCTTTTTCTTAAATCATAATTTTCAGGGTCTATATTTTTGTGTTCCATTTCGTGAACAACTACTCAAATATTATGAGAAGGTTAAAAATCCAGATGTAGAAGAAAATCTCCTTACATGTTTGGCAGAACTGTTTACACAGGTATACATTTTTACTTGTAAATAAGCTTTTAATGGTAGTTATTCTTTTCTCTTAGTCACTTTATATTCTACACAATGGGCTTTTTTCCATAGCTGTAACCATTCCATATTTTTTTAAGTTGCATTTTATTTTCCTCAAGATTTATATTCACCATTTGGGTTACTTGTATCAGATTAGTACACAAAAGAAGAAAACAGGTGGTATTGCTCCAAAACGCTTTGTACAAAGAGTGAAGAAAGAAAATGAACTTTTCCGTGGTTACACGCATCAGGTATTATAATTATATTATATAATAAACCAACCTCTTACATCAAATATGAAAATCCATTTACACTTAATGTTTCTGATGATGTTTTGAGTTTTGTGTAGGATGCACATGAATTTTTTGAAGTTTTTGTTAAACGAACTAGTTGATATACTAGAGAAAGAAACAAAAGGTACAAAAGAACATTCATCACCTCCTGAAAAGATTCCCAATGGCATACATGTCCCTCTGGCCAATGGTGTAAGAAAGGAGCCCTTGGTTACATGGGTTCACAAAAACTTTCAGGTATATTCATATCTTTATTATTTTTCATTTTACTTAGCTTACCAATATCAAATATTAAACTCATCAATTGTCCTAATTTTTCCAATTTCAGGGTATACTCACAAACGAAACAAAGTGTTTAAGATCTGAGACTGTAACTGCAAGAGATGAGACACTCTTAAATCCGAGCCTTGATATTGAGCAAAACAATTCCATTACAAGTTGCCTAAAGAACTTCAGTTCCACCGAGACTTTAAATGCTGAGGATAAGTTTTTCTGTGATAAGTGCTGCAGGTTTCTACTTTTATTTTTATTTTTTATTTTTCTGTAATAATGGTTTTTTTATGAAGGAAATGTAAAGATGTTTTGTTTTTTAGAGTTTACAGGAAGCACAGAAGAGGATGAAGATCAAGAAACAGCCGCATATTTTAGTGATACATGTCGCAAATATGCCAAATCTGAAAGGATTATTTTCCATTATAATGGTCATGGTGTACCTAAACCAACTACCAATGGTGAAATTTAGTTTTTAATAGGGTAATTATATGTTTTTATTTTGCACTATCTTTCTATATTCATGCCTTGTATTCAATAGTTTCCCTAGACTAATTTCCTCTATTCTTGTCAAATGTTGTAGAGTTATACACGGTATATTCCATTGCCTATCAGCGATCTTGACTCATGGCTCAAGACTCCGTCCATATATGTTTTTGATTGTTCTGTTGCAGGGATGATTGCCAATGCCTTCATAGAGGTATTATTAACTATTTATTTCTTGACAACATTGTTATTATTGTTTGACTAAATGCTTGAATATCATTTATATGTATATAACTCCAGGATTGGACTCCCTCAAGTTCTTCTTTAGGAACTTCACCAAGAGACTGTATTCTACTTGCAGCATGTGAAGCACATGAAAAAGTCATGAGTTTCCTGTTGATGTCTTCATTTCTTGCCTTACAACTCCCATCAAGATTGCCTTAAGATGGTTTTGCACTCGATAATTACTACATGAATCACTTGATTATTCACTTATAGACAGAATACCTGGGAGACAAACTGATCGTAAGAAACTTCTTGGTGAGTTGAACTGGAGATTTGCCTTTATTGATTATTCACTTGATTGTTCTCGTGTATCTTATCCAATGTTACCCCCAACTCATCAACACCATATGTGGTAATAAACACATGAACTTATTTATGATGTTATAATTCTTGAATCTTGATGAATTTGGTTATGGTTTGACCACATGTCATTACAGGGATGCATGGGATATGGCTGCTGAAATCTGCCTTTCACTTGATTGTTCTCCTGTATTTTATTTTGGTTATGGTTTGACCACGTGTCATTATAGGGACGTACATCACTTAGAATTTTTCATTTTATTCATTTTTACATTATGACAAATCTATGATTATGAGCATACTTCCATGTCTTGCTTGCTTTTCAGTTTTTTGGTGAGTTGTACACAGTTTGATCTTGTGAAAGCATCTGGATTGGTTCCTCCTGTGATGCGATCATACAGTAATAATATTAATGGGGATTAGGATTTGACAGAAGGTAAATTGATGACATGACAACAGCAAATCCTAGGAAAGAAGGTTATCTTGGTCCGCTTGAGTATACTTCATATGCTGATTGCTACAAGCAAAAGTAAGCATTCAAGTCTTGTACCATTTCGTTTCTAAACTGTTGCGATCCAAAAAAAAACAGAGAGAGGAAAAACGGAATAACCATATATATATATATATATATATATATATATATATATATTAAATTGTAATCCATAAAGTCAGAAAAGACACAACCCCTTCCCTTCCTTTACATCTTGTTCAATTTTCTTTATGTTGTACATTCCAATAACTGATTTGTCATGCTGCAGGTTTTGTTTGAAGATTTGGGCAACTTTAAGCAGGTTAACTCTGCAATCTTCACATTTTATTTTCTCACAACATTTTGGCATTGAAATTTAACATTGGTGACATAATGCTCCAAGCAGTAATGATGTTCTTTATCCCTCAGTATTATTGGCTAGCACTTTGTATCTCTTTCAAGCATGTATATCTTCATAGTGGATTTGAAAAGTTGTTTTTTACTCCATTAATTCCCACTTTTCTAGTCAATTAAATTTTAAAATGTGCTTACCATATTCACCAATGATGTTGCAATATTGGTGATATGTTGATAGCTAAACCTTCCAGTATTTCACTCTTTTCTATTTTCTTAACTCTCATAGCAACACAATGTTCTTATTATATATCATTTTGGAACAACTTTTTTTACTACGTTCATGGGCTGGCAGCCCGATCAGTTCATTATTATCATCATCTAGGACCAATTCTACAAGACTCCGGGTTCTTCTTCCTGTATGTATAACTCAATGCTCGAATCTTTCTTTATTCATAAAACACATTATTTATGTCTCTAAAGTCCTAATGATCATATTTATAATTATGTTTATTTTTCGTGAAAGAACTTGGGTAGGAAAGAGCATATGTCAGTGAGACATTATTCACCTTTGTCTTCCTTTCCTTTGTCCTGATAATTATTCTTTCCATTTAATGTTTTGTAAGCTCTAATTACTTTGCATTTATGATTGTTATGTACATTCAGTTCCAATGGTTTTCTTTATTACTGACGGGGCTGTTGAAAACGAGAGAAAAATTTGTGAAGTTATAAAGAAACAACTAGAAAACAAAGGATCAAAATTGGCCCCACGTATTAACACATTTGGTATAGGTATTGCTTCGCATTATTATTCCCTCCTTTTACTATACATACTTATTTTATTTTTTAGACAGAGAAAATAAGCAGTTTGTTTTTAATTGTAAGTGTGATTGACATTGCGTTCTCCTTTAATTTTATTTCCACTTTTTCTTAGATCTGAAAGATTTTATAAGCTTGCATACCTTGTTGTTTCCTTGATTGTGCAGGATCATACTGCAATCATTACTTTTTGTGAATGCTTGCAATGATTGGGAAGGGTCATTATGATGCTTCTTACAATTCAGGTACATAGTTCATATGTGTTTCAAAACATTAAAATTTAAATGGAGGGGAAGCCAAGGAGTTTGTTCCTCTTCTTTTTGTGTTCTATTCTCTTACCCTTGGCTTCTAGTTATTTGTATTTGTTGTCATCTGTTTTTATCTTTTTGACGCAATGCAACATGTTGCTGCTGAAGGCATAGCCTTGGTCAAACAGGCAGAAGATGCTGCAAGTAATAAGAAGGTAGAAAAGAGATTGCAGGTTGATCCTGCTACATGGCCAATAATGATCTTTAGGGACTGCTAGAAGGATTGGAGATTGCAGTTAAGCTTCTATCTACTACTTCACGCTAAGGACTTGATGAATTTAAGCTAGCAATGTTTTACTTGATTTGGACATGAACCCTAAGATATCATATTTTGACATGGCTAGAAGCTTTGGAGGAAACAAGACTCAAGCAAAGGTAAACACATAGAGAGTTGTTGGCACATAGTAAGCTAGATAATGCAATTGTATATAAATGAGTTCATTTTTTTATAACATTTACTCACTATTGGAATAATTATTTGTATTTGACATATTAGTGAAATAAATTATCTTTGTTATTTATGGAATTTTATTTTGTATTATGAGATTTTTAATGTATTATTTAATTTGAAAATTAGTAAATCTATAAATAATATTTTTTTAAACATTTAAAATTATGATACGCAAAAATGTGTGTCATCTTCATTCATGACATGGCCTTTCTTGACAGGGACTTTCTTGATACGCATTGCGTGTCATTAACACGCACGTCATAAGGTTATGACACGCGAATGCGTGTCGTCTTCCTTTATGACAGGGTCTTCCTTGATACGCATTGCGTGTCGTAAACGCGCGTCGTAATTGCACGTCGTAAATGAGCGTCGTAAATGAGCGTCGTAAATGCGCGTCGTCTCTCTTTATGACAGGGCCTTCCTTGACGCACATTTGTGCGTCATCTTTTTAGGTCATTACATAGAGTCGAAATATCGGGTTGTCACACATCGAACCTTCACAATACGAGTTTGCTTCGTACGCTTCACTTCCCTATCCATTATCTCGACTGGTTATTCGATGTATGGGGGATTCTAGTTGATTTCGATTTCTTCTAGAGGAATGTCAAGATTTTCATCGGATAAACATTTCTTTATTTTTCGAGATGTGAAACATGGGATATACATTGCTGAGCTCCGAAGGTAGCTGCAACTTATATGCTACTGGACCGATTCGGGCATGAATGTTGAACGGTCTGATGTATCGCGGGTTCAATTTTCCCTATTTCCCAAAGCGAATCATTACTTTTCAGGGAGATTCTTTCAATAGTACCTGATCTCCGACTTGGAATTTCAGTGGTCTTTGTCGTTTGTCAGCATAACTCTTGTGTCTATCTCCTGATGCTTGAAGTCGAGTTGTGATTTGGATTATCTTCTCTATCGTTTCGCAAATGGTTTTTTGGTCCCGTGAGAGTAGTGGCGAGTGATTCGCATTTACGACCATAAAAGTGTCAAAAGGAGAAACCTTGATGCTTGTGCGATAGTTGTTATGGTATGAGAATTCAATCAAGGGCAACTTGGTATCATATTACTTGCTAAATTCAAACACCCAGACTTGGAGCATGACTTCGAGTGGTTGAATGGCTTGTTCGCTTTGGCTACTGGTTTGAGGGTGGTAAGCAATTCTCATGTCTAGTTGTGTTCCCATAGCCTTCTAAAGTGACTGTCAAAATCTTGAAGTAATTTTATTATCTCGATCCACGCAGTGCTTCCTCCGCGATATTCTCTGGCTTTGATGCTTTCTAAGGCGGATCGTAGGTGTTGACAGTGTTTTGTTCTTGCTTTGTGAGAAGACGAGTATGTTATTGATGAAAATAATTAAAAGGTTGACTAGGAATGGTTGGTAAAACTTGGTTCATAGGGTTTATGAATAATGTGGGAGCATTCGTTAGACAGAAGGGTATCACGACAAATTTGAAATGATCGTGACGAATTCAGAAAGCAACTATTGGAATGTCCTTTTCTCATACTCAGAGCTGATGATAACCGGTTCTTAGATCTTTTTGGAGAAGCAACTAGCTCCTCGGGGTTGGTCCAATAGGTCATCAGTCCGAGGGAGTGGGTATCGGTTTTCGATAGTTAGCTTATTCAATTTCCTAAAATCGATGCACATTCTAAAGTATCCGTCTTCTTGATGAACATGACTGGAGCTCTCTAGGGTGGAAAGCTTGGTCTGATGAATTCTTTGCTCAAAAATTTTATTAATTGACTGGATAACTCCTAACTTCAGCGGGAGCTAACCTGTAGGGTGAATTGGCAATTGATGTGGCTCCTATTATTAGGTCGATTCGGAATTCGAATTATCCACAGTCAATCATACTTTTGAGTGTGTTTTGATTTCAAATGAATGATTTTGATTGAGCATAAGATATGATATACACTTAGAGTACAGGTTTTAAAATAGATGATGTTTACATGAGAGTAGAATTTCCTAGCAAAAATGCTAGTTATGACACAGATGCAGACATATAGACAGAAAACATCACTTCATTAGACATTTAGTAGAAGAGGGACTCATCGTAGTAAAGAGGGTATCGTTAGAGGAGAACCCAGCAGACCCCTTAAAAAGGGACTGAGTTGGATTAAGCATTTTTAGCATGCTAGGAGCATTGGCCCGAGGGAAGATATTAGTTTTTGTGATTAGATAGACAGTTCGAAACTTGTAATAAATAAATGTAATTGACATTTGATGATTAAGTGATGGAAGATTTATTTAGGAGTAAAGTTTACTGTGTTTTGACAATTGTTTATTCTGTGTTTCATTTTGCATGTTTTGACTTCCTGAATAATAGGATTCTCCGAATTTGTAACAACCCAAAATACGATCCAAATATTTTAGTTTAAATAATACTAAAACCATAACATCGAATGCCATAAAATAGAAATCATATTTCTATATCTCAAAACTATAATAACGTGT